CATGTTGCTTCTATGATGAGCTGCATGCCATTTTAGGGGGTTCAGCCACCACTACCCCAGCCGTGTTGTTTGACTCCTTCAACGGAGATGGAGGCAACACGGAAGCAGGTTTTGGGGACAAAGAAGATGATGATGATGAGGTTGTAGATAGCTCACAGCAAGCAAGCGGAGAAACCGCTTTTCCCAACAGCCAGGAACTGTTTCTCACTCTGGACCTGGAGCCAGTACCCCCCGAACCCACCCAAGGCTGCCTCCTAGACCCGGCAGGTGGAGAAGGGACCTCCGGTGAGCGTACCTTTTAAAATACTATACATGGTTTAAAAGCAAGCATGTGAAAGGATTACTTTGCCCTGGCATTCGCGGCTCTCCTGGATGTACTCCCAAAGCCTTTGCAAAAGGTTTCTGGGGAGGGCAGCCTTATTCCATCCACCATGGTAGGACACTTTACCACTCCAGGCCAGTAGCACATACTCGGGAATCATAGTAGAACAAAGCATTGCAGTGTATGTTTGCTGGCATTCAAACAACATCCGTTCTTTATCTCTCTGTGTTATCCTCAGGAGAGTGAGATATCATTCATGGTCACCTGGTTGAAATAGGGTGTTTTCTTCAGGGGACACTCAGAGGAGCCCGTTCCTGCTGGGCTGTTTGCCTGTGGCTGAACAGAAATGTTCCCCGCTGTTAGCCACGGGGAGGGGGGAGGGTTGAGGGGGTAGCCACGCGGTGAGGGGAGGCAAAATGCGACCTTGTAACGAAAGCACATGTGCTATGTATGTAATGTTAACAGCAAGGTTTACCCTGAAAGAGTGTAGCCACTGTTTTATAAAATGTGCCTTTTTAAATACTGCTGTCCCTTTTTTTTTCTCCACCAGCTGCATGTGTTTCAATGATCACAGGATCTTCTCCTTCCCAGAGGCTAGTGAAGCTTAGAAAGAAAAAAAAACGCACTCGTGATGAAATGTTCTCTGAGCTCATGCTGTCCTCCCACACTGACAGAGCACAGACGAATGCGTGGAGGCAAATAATGTCAGAGTGCAGGAAAGCACAAAATGACCGGGAGGAGAGGTGGCGGGCTGAAGAGAGTAAGCGGTGGGCTGAAGAGAGTAAGTGGCGGGCTGAAGACAGGGCTGAAGCTCAAATGTGGCGGCAGTGTGATGAGAGGAGGCAGGATTCAATGCTGAGGCTGCTGGAGGACCAAACCAGTATGCTCCAGTGTATGGTTGAGCTGCAGCAAAGGCAGCTGGAGCACAGACTGCCACTACAGCCCCTGTGTAACCAACCGCCCTCCTCCCCAAGTTCCATAGCCTCCACAGAGGATTGCCCAAAAAAAAAGAAGGCTGTCATTCAATAAATTTTAAGTTGTAAACTTTTAAAGTGCTGTGTGGCATTTTCCTTCCCTCCTCCACCACCCCTCCTGGGCTACCTTGGTAGTCATCCCCCTATTTGTGTGATGAATGAATAAAGAATGCATGAATGTGAAGCAACAATGACTTTATTGCCTCTGCAAGCAATGATCAAAGGGAGGAGGGGAGGTGGTTAGCTTACAGGGAAGTAGAGTGAACCAAGGGGTGGGGGGTTTCATGAAGGAGAAACAAAGAGAACTTTCACACCGTAGCCTGGCCAGTCATGAAACTGGTTTTCAAAGCTTCTCTGATGCGTGCCGCGCCCTCCTGTGCTCTTCTAACCACCCTAGTGTCTAGCTGCACGTAACCAGCAGCCAGGCGATTTGCCTCAACCTCCCACCCCGCCATAAACGTCTCCCCCTTACTCTCACAGATATTGTGGAGCACACAGCAAGCAGTAATAACAGTGGGAATATTGGTTTCGCTGAGGTCTAAGCGAGTCAGTAAACTGCGCCAGCGTGCCTTTAAACGTCCAAATGCACATTCTACCACCATTTTGCACTTGCTCAGCCTGTAGTTGAACAGCTCCTGGCTACTGTCCAGGCTGCCTGTGTACGGCTTCATGAGCCATGGCATTAAGGGGTAGGCTGGGTCCCCAAGGATACATATAGGCATTTCAACATCCCCAACAGTTATTTTCTGGTCTGGGAATAAAGTCCCTTCCTGCAGCTTTTGAAACAGACCAGAGTTCCTGAAGATGCAAGCGTCAAGTACCTTTCCCGGCCCTCCCACGTTGATGTTGGTGAAACGTCATCCACCAGAGCTTGCAGCACTATTGAAAAGTACCCCTTGCGGTTTATGTACTCGCCAGCTTGGTGCTCCGGTGCCAAGATAAGGATATGGGTTCCGTCTATGGCCCCACCACAGTTAGGGAATCTCATTGCAGCAAAGCCATCCACTATGACCTGCACATTTCCCAGGGTCACTACCTTTGATATCTGCAAATCTTTGATTGCGTGGGCTACTTGCATCACAGCAGCCCCCACAGTAGATTTGCCCACTCCAAATTGATTCCCAACTGACCGGTAGCTGGCTGGCATTGCAAGCTTCCACAGGGCTATCGCCACTCGTTTCTCAACTGTGACGGCTGCTCTCATCTTGGTATTCATGTGCTTCAGGGCAGGGGAAAGCAAGTCACAAAGTTCCATGAAAGTGCCCTTACGCATGCGAAAGTTTCGCAGCCACTGGGAATCGTCCCAGACCTGCAACACTATGCGGTCCCACCAGTCTGAGCTTGTTTCCCAAGCCCAGAATCGGCGTTCCACAGCATGAACCTGCCCATTAGCACCATGATGCATGCATTGGCAGGGCCCATGCTTTCAGAGAAATCTGTGTCCATGTCCTGATCACTCACGTGACCGCGCTGATGTCGCCTCCTCGCCCGGTATCGCTCTGCTAGGTTCTGGTGCTGCATATACTGCTGGATAATGCGTGTGGTGTTTAATGTGCTCCTAATTGCCAAAGTGAGCTAAGCGGCCTCCATGCTTGCCTTGTCCGCACAGAAAAAAGGCACGGAACGATTGTCTGCCGTTGCTCTGACAGAGGGAGGGGCAACTGACAACACGGCTTACAGGGTTGGCTTCAGGGAGCTAAAATCAACAAAGGGGGTGGCTTTACATCAAGGAGTATTTCAGGCAGGACTTCACGGAGGGTTCCAGTAAGAAATGATGCATCTAAGTTATTGTTCTTATTGGAACAATGAGGTTAGCCTGGCCTCTGATTGATACATGGCTAGATTTACCTTGCTGCACCTTCTCTGTGAGTGACTGCAGTATGACCTAGAGGAATGACCTAGGGGGGAAGCAAATGAGTACAAAACAAATCTGGTCTATTTCTTGTTTTGATCCACTCCATCTATCTTTTACATCTTTGACTGGCAGCAGACGGTGCAGAAGGACTGCATGCCATCCACATCTCATGGCTGCCCGGCAGAAGATGATGCAATAGGACTGCTAGCAATCCGTATCGCCTGCCTGCTCACCATAAGACGGTTCCATAGGACTGACTGCAGGACTAAAGAGAATGACCTGGTCAAGTCACTCCAAATTTAGTCCCTGCGCCCATGTCTGCCCACGTGCTCCTGGCCAACATGGCCAGGAGCACCTCGGACATGACGATGACGGCTACCAGTCATACTGTACCGTCTGCTGCCACAAGGCAAGGGGTTGAGGCTGCTGTGTAGCAATGCAGTACCACGTCTGCCAGCACCCAGGAGACATAGGGTGACGGTTACCTGAGCGGGCTCCATGCTTGCCATGGTATGGCGTCTGCACAGGTAACTCAGGAAAAAAGGCGCGAAACGATTGTCTGCCCTTGCTTTCACGGAGGGAGGGTGGTAAAGGGGGCCTGACGATATGTACCCAGAACCACCCGCGACAATGTTTTAGCCCCATCAGGCTTTGGGATCTCAACCCAGAATTCCAATGGGCAGCGGAGACTGCGGGAACTGTGGGATAGCTACCCTCAGTGCAACGCTCCAGAAGTTGACTCTAGCCTCGGTACTGTGGAAGCACTCCGCCGAGTTAATGCACTTAGAGCATTTTCTGTGGGGACACACACACTCGAATATATAAAACCGATTTCTAAAAAACCGACTTCTATAAATTCGACCTAATTCCGTAGTGTAGACATACCCTTAGAGATGTGGTGTGGAGCAGAGCCGGAATCAGCGCCAGAGTCTGAAGCTGACCCTAAGAATTTTTACAGCAGGAGCAGCTTTAGCCTCAATTCCCTGTCCTTTCATGCCCTAGACTTAAGTTTGCTGCAGTGGGCACATTTTGGGGGGATGTGGGACTTCCCTAAACATTTTATGCATTTTGAATTGCCATTTGCCATCAGACAGTGGGGTGGCATCCTTACAATTAGAGCAGCATTTAAAGCCTGGGGAGCCAGGCATGTCGGAAGCTGACAGGAACTAAGAGAATTTTTTTTTTTAAAAAAGAGCGAAACCAACACACACTACTGGTAACACTAATAACTAACACTATTGGTAACAAACGATCTAAAAGGGTAAGAGTAACAAGGGAGAAAGTTTTCTAATGAGTTTGCTGAGCTCCATCTCAGGCCGGGGACGGTAGAGAAGGAACTGAGAAGACCGGTCGCGCATGCGTACTATTAAGGTACACTCAGAGTGGGGAGAGGGGGGGAAGCTCTGCGCATGCGCGACCAGTATGAGTACTGCTTTAAAAATGTCCGAGCGAAGGCGCAGGGATGCACCAACACCTAGAGGGGAGCACCCAAAGGGACAGCTCTCAATGAAGAACATTAGTATTCCCAACCACACTCTATATACTGACAGATAAACCACACACTCACTACATAAAGAGCAGAGAAGGAGGGAAATTAAATGAAGTGGTTATCCAGGTGAGGAGCAGAGGGGAAAAAGATGAAACAGGTTTCTGTTTCAGACAGGAAGGAGAGAACCAACCTGAAACTTGTGGAACCAACCTGAAACCTAAATCGTAGACATGGGTTTGTATCTGCAAATTAGAATCCAAACCACCTACAATTTAAAGGGGTCATGATTCACAGTTCAAGTTTTGATCCCTTTCTACTTCTTATGACCTATTATGCAAATCAAACAAGTATTGTACCAACCTCACTCTGAATCTTTTGAACTTCTTTTGAAACTTGATAAATTGGCGTATCTGTGAACTCCATCATTGATCTGCCTTTAGATTTTTCATAATCCTCTTTGTACTTAACCTAAGAAAATAAAATAAATAAATATTCTCCACAACTATAGTAGATGACAAAATGTGATGATTGTTTGATTGGGATGGAGTAAGAAAATTCTGTCCTAGCCAAACCCTCTCTCAGAGCTCTTGACTTAGATGTTTTTGCCAAGCTTTCTGTGGGTGAAGTGGGGCATCCAAACCAGGGAAGGTTTTCTGCTGTAACATACGCCCTTACCACAATGCTCTAGAGCTCAAGACCAGTGGATTTAGAGGGACATGATCTGTATCCTGTTTACTCAGAAAAAATAACCTTTTAGGCATATATAAAACCATATATGAAAACAAATTCCCATAAGCCAAATTAGGTATAACCAAAAAGCTCATGCAAGCCTAGGGTTCAACCAGACCCTCAGAACCTGGTGTGGAGACTTGACTTCCTACAGGCACCTTCTTCTGTGGCTCTCTAGCTACAATTCTTAAACACCCTCTCCTGAAACCTGCACGAGAGGAAAGGGAAGGAAGCCAGAGCTGTTGGTCTTACATTCTATTCTATGTCTACCCTCAGCTCCCTCTTTTCTTGTATATGCTTAGGCAGTATCGACAACCTGAATTTGGCCCTAAAACTTGTTATAAAACTACTGATGGACATAACTCTGAGGACCTTGTAATATGCTTTTTGATTATAACTTGTGCAGCAAGGAAGCAGACATCTTTCGGCTTGGGATCCTGAAGTTTTGATGAGCCTTGTAAATTCATTCATTCTCATCAATTAAAAGTACAACTCAGATTTATCGACAAGGCTTATGTATGGCTACATGCATTTATGTTATTCATCCTAATCAGAGAAAGGTATGGAAAACATCACAAAGCTAGATACTGGAGGGTTTATATACTGTGAAACCAAAAGAGTTAAGGATCAACATGTTACATTACAAGTGGGTGATATTTTAATGTCATGATCTTTTTTAACACTGCAGCATTGTCTGAGTTTAAGAAAAGTTTTAAAAACCCTCTTCCCTGGTGACATGTGTCATTGGGCCTCATTCCTGCAGCATTCAACATGTAGGCACTCAGCTGCTCCCACTTGCAACCCCAATTACTTTATATGCATCTCACATCATTGTAATTTGTCATGGGATTTGTGCATGATTTAGTAACTGTAAGAAAGCTGCTTTTGTCACTTCATAAGGTTTATTTACAATTTGTGTATACCTGACTTTGGAGCACAGCATTTTCTTTGTGATGCATCTGTTCACTTGTATCCAGGGCAAAATGATAGTGCCCCTTGCTTTTCTCAAACAGTTTCTTGTATTCATACTGAAACAAAGAACAGCAAAACATGCTTTTATGTATAAAATTGACTGGTTTCAATTTAAAGAGCAATTTAAATAAGCATAAAAGAAACAACATAACATAAAGTACCATTCAATAACATAACATAAAATACCTAACACTAATAATGAATCTTAAACAATTAAAAATAACCGAATTTTGGGATAAGGTATAACGTGGTGGAATGAAAACAATGTCAAAGAACAGCCACAAAGTTCAGAAGTTTTTTAAAAATACCTGTCTTATACAAATATTAAATATTTTTGCTTGTGAAAAATAAAGAATTAATATTATTTAGGCTCAAAGGACAAAAAAGCATATTTGGTGGTGTCCACTTGCCTCCTAGTGGAAATAATTATAAACATCACACAACATTTACACACATTCTCTTATGGTAACAAAAAAAAATATTTGCAGAACCTGGATATTTAAAGGTTTCAGAGTAACAGCCGTGTTAGTCTGTATTCGCAAAAAGAAAAGGAGTACTTGTGGCACCTTAGAGACTAACCAATTTATTTGAGCATAAGCTTTCGTGAGCAAGCTTATGTTCAAATAAATTGGTTAGTCTCTAAGGTGCCACAAGTACTCCTTTTCTTTTTGGATATTTAAAGTCATTATTCTTACTACACTAAATTCCAGACATAGAACTGGTCTCCTGGAAAAGTACCAATTCTGTACTTGTCCAACCTGTTTCAAATACCTGTGTTAATTTGAAATTAAATTGCATTAATAACAATAGGAAATCTTAGATGTATTACCTTGTCCATGTTATCTGTTGATTGATGCTTACAGGATGTAAGTACAAATAAAATAAAACACTGAGTCCATAATGCAAGAGCACTCTTTGCTCTTGGTAAATTTTATCCCTTCAAAATATGTACACAATTCTTTATACATTTGAATTTGTATTCTTCAGAAGCTCTTTCAAAATAAACAGAAAACATTCCACTCACTCCAAAATGTTGAATGAAAATGAAGCTATGTAATCTAAATTCCATATATTCAGTATTTGATCAAATACAAACCTCAAAGACCTTTTACAATTAGAACAAATCAAGCTAATATAAAAGCTGCTAAATTTCAGATTGGCTGTGTGCGAAAATTTAAATCTAGATTTCAAATGTTACACAATAAATATCTAGGAAATCTGAGGGCAAAGCTTGACTCTTCAATCTAATTTCTCATCTGAAATCAGATATGTAGTGACGTCTATCTCACAAAATCTGCAATGGTGTATTTGTTCATATATGCACATTTCTGGATTTCCCTGTAAATGTTATAACTTATCCTCACAAAACACCAGATTGAATTACATTTTGCGATACAATACTGTTAATATGTTTTTGTGGAGTCATTCATACAAATAATTATTTGCAGAAAATCATAGTCAAAACATGAAGTACAATACACCGTGTACGTTACAATGTATCACACAGGTGGTAGGTTTGGATACATCAGGATAAGGATGAACAGAAATACACATTTCAGGGAAGAACTGTGGACCATGTAGAAACTGAAAGGTTCAGTAATTGCTCTTCTAACCGCGGTCGGTATAACATACTGTAGGTAGGGTAGAAGAAAATAGATCTTGAGACCACTAGGGGCAGAAAGGCTGTTCCAGATACTGAAGTAGACTAGAAGAAGGATCTGCTGTTCATTATAGAGAGACAGGGAGGCGGAACACAAAAAAGATGGAATTTGAGAAGCATAGGGAAAGGCTGGAGAACAAATCAAAAATAAGTCAGAGAGACGGGGGCAGGGGAAAGATCAAGACCATGAAGGATTTTGAAGACTAAAGGTACATCTACACTGCACAACACTGATGGTGGCATGTAGGGTGCATGTAGCTACATGCATCAGAGAAAGGCTGTGGCAGGGGGAAGGCAGTGGGGAAAAGCTCTGGCAGTGGAGTCTCCCCCTTGGTAGAGCCTTTCCCTGTTGCCACAGACATGTTCCAGCAGCGGGGAGCTGCCAGAGCCTTTCCCCACTGCTGGAGCCTTTTCTGGTGTCGGAGAAAGACTTTGGCAGCAGGGAGGCTGTGGGAGACTACACTGCTAAAAATAGCTGTGTAGATGGGCAGGGCACTGCTTGGTCACGTAGAGAGCCATGTAGTGAAGATATCCACAGGATTCAGGCGTGCCTTTACTCTACTCGCCTAAGAAGTGCCTCACCATCTACACTGCACTGAATACCCATGCTAGGGGGCATGTAGTGTATGTACTCTACATACCACTGTAAGGAGTGTGCAGTAGTGTAGATACACCCTAAGGTATTTTGTACTTGACAAATAGCAAGTGAAGACCTCAGGGGATGGATATGAAGTGTTCTTGTTTCGATCACAGCCAAGATAAACCACCAGCTTTTGGACAAAGCATAGTCCAGAGAGTTAACTTTTACGGAGATCACAAATGTCTCTAGTTGTAGGGATGAAGATGATGTAGGAACCAACCACTGTTTGGGCAAAGGAATGGTAGAAATCGTGTCAGATTAAAATGTTTTATAGGTGAGAGTAGGCAGATATATAGACATCAGGGAATTTGAACATAAGTTGAGCACCTAGGTTCTTGTCTTATGTGAGATAAGGAGAAGAAAGAAGTTCCAAAGTTCAGACCGATGGTGCTCATTTAACCAGCTAGTAAAAAATATCCAGTTTAAATGCATTAAATTGAAGGAAGCTACAGTTAGGCCAAACAAGGATAAATAATTTGGTGAGCAGAAAGTGAAGAAGGGCCTAAATCCTGGAGATCTATAGATTTGGATATGATCCATACAAAAGTGATACCCAAGGTTAAATTCAGAAAGGGAATGCCTAAGGGGGAAAAAATACTGATGCAAAAAAGAAAAAATGAGTACTTAGAAAAGGCACAGCTGTGGGAGAGTTTCAGTTCACAGAAGGGTAATGTGAAGAATCAGATTCAAACTGGATAGCTGGATTATTTTGTGCCAGAAGCAGGGTTTTACAGGTGGACATTAATACCTACTCAGATTAAAATATAAGAAGCAAGAGGAACCAGGCCTTCAAAGGCTATATATATGACAAACAATACTTTGTGATCAAAATGCACTGAAAAGCAAGAAGACAATGCCATACGTGTGATACATTCTGCAATAAATTAAATAAATGGGTACATTTTCCTTTTATAAGTATATTTAAAGTAATGATTAAAAAAGCCAACTTACATTACTATGCATTTTGCTGGCATTTAAAGCATGCTCTAAATATAGCAAGTTTGGCAGGTCTGAAGCTGGATTGTGTAGACTTTCCACCATATCTTTTTTGTATTTCACCTGAAAACCGAATACAGAGTATAGCAAAGTGAAGACTTGTAAAATATACAGCAAGTTCTATTTATACTGTACACTATAAAAACAAAAAAGAAAAAGAAAAATCTTACTACAGTGCTTGCATGAAATATGTACAATGGCCACTAGGTGGTGCTCATTTACTACTATTTGGAAAAATAAATATACAGTGAGGGCTTCCTTTCCACTAGTGAGCAAATATTTTGATAACTACGTAAACATTTCAAAAAGGGTAAAGTTAATCACATCAGATTTTGTAAGACTTTTCAAAACAGAATAGGCTATGGCAGATATATACATCAGAAATACCTTCTTACTGATTTTTATTTGAATATTATCTTTACACAATATTGTTCTACAGTTGGACAATTTATCATTAACTTTATATTGTTCATTGGTAATTCTTGCCTTTCTTCCCTCAAGTCAGATTATTTTTCATCAACTGCTTGTGTGCAAAAAAAAATCTTTATAGAGTAACTACCCCACAATCAAACAGTATTTTGTACATGTATTTTTATTTAATACAGTTTGCTTTCAGTAACAAGAATGAATGGAGCCTTAGATGAGAGAGAACCTAATCACGCAATGAAATGGCAAATCATATACATTCCCAATAGCTGACAGCAGTGTTTCCCAAACTTTTAAAAGTTGAGTTTCCCCTTCAGGAAAATGAAACCCATCAACCCGCCCCCGGCACCCTGCCTACATTACTCCTGGGGGAATTCTGCCCCCCCCCCCAAAAAAATTAAAAATCCTGCAGCAAAAATTAAAAATGCTATGCACAATATTTTAAAATTCTGCATATTTTATTTGTCTAAATAACATAACATAATCACACCAGTTTCAAATATTTTTGGTCATTTATTTCAAAATACCTGTCAGCAAGTATGTCTAACAATACAGACAACAAAAAAGATTCAATAAATGTTTTTTGACAAATACATTCTTTACTGGGGATATTAATACAGAACTCTGAGTAATAATTCACTCAAACTACAAACAGAACCATATTCTCTGCACCCCTCAGAAGCAGTGCAAAGGCTTGGGAGAGTCAGGGGTAATGGAGGAGCTGAGATAGAGGGAAGTAAGTTGCTGGGAAGGAGCCTGGGTGTGAACTTGGAGGGTTTTTGGGTATGGGTGGGAAAACTGTGGAACAGATTTTTTTGGGGGGGTGGGGAGGGATTGTTAGGGAGCTTCCCCCATGCAGACTCTGGCTGACCCCTACTCTCTCCCATTCAATCAGGCACATCTGCCCCGTCCCTATGTGTTCCTGCACCCCCATGTGTCCTTGCACCCCCTGTCCACATGTGTCCCTCCACGCCCACTCAGACACCTACTCCCCCCATCCCCATGTGGCCCTGCACCTCTCCCCCGTCCCCATGTGTCTCTGTACCCCTTCCCCATCCCCCTGTGTCTCTGGGCCCCCACCTAGCCACCCTCTGTCCCTATGTAGCTCTGCACCCCCTCCCCCATCACCATCGTGGTTCTACACCTCCCTCCTCCCTATGGCCCTGTGCCTCCACTCCAATTCATCCCCTGTCCCAGTCTGTCCTCTCCCACTAGCTTTTATGAGCCCCTGTCTGACATCCCTGCCCCAGCACCCCACACTGTCTGTCTCCTGACCTGGCCTGACAGGTGTTGCAAAGAAGTCAGGCTCTTTCTCTTCCTTTGCTGGTTGGAAGCAGCTGCTGTATTCTATTGCCACAGTGCCCTCTGATGGGCGAAAGGTGGAATTGCAAAAGTTGTTTTCTGCTGGGAGCTGCTGCTGTTCTTATGCCACAGCACCCTCTAGTGGACAAAAGGTGGAACTGCGGCAACATTTCAGCAGAAGCTTTTTTCTGCACAAAACAATAAAATTGTGCATGGCTCATTAATTATGCACGCACTCAGTAGCACAAAATTCCCCCAGGAGTACTTTCTGTATAGCTTTTCCATGTACTTCCCCCACACCAATTCGTCCTTCATGCAGTTATCCAAGCCCTCCCCAGTCTCCCCGTACGCACATTAGAAAACCCTGGTTAAGATCCTCATGATATAATACATCCTCTTTTTTTTTAAGTCTAGTCTAAACTTTAAAAGTTTCAGCAGCATAACACTGTTTGCTAGTGGCATGATTTTTTTTTTTTTTTTTTTACTATTTTACAGATCTTACTCCACTGGACAGTGGCAGAGAAGACAGGGCGCCTGTACTCTTCAGAGCACTGTGCAGCCTTTGCAGAGTAAAGAGGGAGCAGTCCCTGCACAACTGTGCCTGGCAATTACCCAAACCACACAAAGGGGGAGTAAGATTCAACCTCCCTTTCTTTGCACACCCCCAAAGGGGCCATGTACAATCTGCCCCTAAGTTATCCAGGACCACAGTACTGCCTCTAAGAACAGCCCAAATTTATGACATTAGCCACATGAAAGCATTGTTAAACATTCTGTCGGCATTGCAGCACCACATGGCACATGTGCTTTCTCCCATCTGAGTCTGACTGCAGCAGGCAGTGACTTACATTAAATCCCCTAACTACTCTCCTTTCTTGAAATGCTGCACTTTGGCTCCATCTCCCGATTCATGTGCACACACAGCAATTCATCAAAATCTTTGGAGCCTCACAAACAAGGAGCTGGGATTTGTCACAGCCTGAAGAGGGTTGCAGGCAGGAAAGGGCAATGAAGGGTGCACTGTAGGCACTAGCAGAAGAAGGGCTTATTCATAAGTGGGGGTTGAACTGGCTGGTGCCCTATACGTACTACTATGCAATGGGTCCCACATAATATAGGTTCGGCTCTGAAGTCTACTTTCAACCTGATCTCCATGTTAAACTCTAAATTCAATTTCCCAGTTCTTGCAGATGCAGATATAATACATATTGTGAGTGGTTGCTCTTGGTAAATCAAATAAGATGCACCATTGTTCACAAGAAAATTATGATGTTTACAGAATACCACGATCAATATACCGTACACGCTGAGAGGTAGAATACAGAACAACTGCACTTACATCACTCGCCAAGCTGGATGCCATCTGTGCTTGCTTGAAAGAAGCACTGCCAAGAGGGTTATACTGGTGGTTCTTCATTTCCTTATTGAATTGCTCTTTGTATTTAACCTGCCACCAGAGCAAACACATTTTATATTGAAATGTTACACTGAAAGGAGGCATGAAGAATTGAGAAATTACTGAGGAGTTTAAATGAAGACAAATTCTCCATCCCTAAATCACCAAACATTATACAAAAGTGAAGGTTACAACAAATATGGAGAGAGAAGAATATGTTTTATGTAAGAACTGTTTTATTATGTTAATGTAGTGTGACAGGGTCGGGCCCGATGGCTACAGGAGAGAAATAGAAGGCAGATATATTAGCCCTGGGTTAAGTAGGTCCCTTTTCCCTGGGTAAGGTAACAGGGAAGGTTCCAGAACAATCAGGAACCTTCTGGAGACAATTAAGACAGACAGGCTGATTAGAACACCTGCAGCCAATCAAGAAGCTGCTAGAATCAATTAAGGCAGGCTAATCAGGGCACCTGGGTTTTAAAAGGAGCTCACTTCAGTTTGTGGTGCGCATGTGAGGAGCTGGGAGCAAGAGGCCCTAGGAGCTGAGAGTGAGAACGCGGACTGTTGGAGGACTGAGGAGTATAAGCATTATTGGACACCAGGAGGAAGGTCCTATGGTGAGGATAAAGAAGGTGTTGGGAGGAGGCCATAGGGAAGTAGCCCAGGGAGTTGTAGCCGTCGCACAGCTGTTCCAGGAGGCACTCTAGACAGCTGCATTCCACAGGGCCCTGGGCTGGAACCCGGAGTAGAGGGCGGGCCTGGGTCCCCCCAAACCTCCCAACTCCTGGTCAGACACAGGAGTCGTCGACCTGGACTGTGAATTCAGAAAAACGGCCAAGCTGAGGGCTGCCGTGAAGCTCCAAGGTGAGCACATCCGCCAATAAGCGCAAGACCCACCAAGGTAGAGGAGCAACTTTGTCACAGTAGGTTTATAGTCAAAAATGGTTTTACACAAAAGTAATAAACAGAAATATATCTTCAGTATCACCCACTAATGACACTATTGTTGATAGCACATTCTTGTGGAGAGGGTACAGAACAGCCGGGCACATCTGGGATCATACATCCACTCAAAAATGTCGCCAGGACTATTCACTTGAATTTAGAAATGAACTCACTTCAGCCACACCTATGCCCATTATGTGCTGGTTTTCCACTAACTTTCATCTGACTGAATTTCACTGGCATAGAATTAAACTTTTAGATTTGTACACACAAACGTTTTCACCAAAGTGCTTATATAAACAAAAAATAATAAAACCACTTGATTTACCTGACTAAACACAACTAACACAGTTTGAGTAGCAAATATAGACTGTTGAATACTCCACAGAGGTATTTTTTTTGACAAAAATGTAAAATACTTTTGAATAGATAAATGGGAGGAAATAAAACTATTTGCTGTAAATTATTCCCTCAGTTATAGAGTGAACTGGAGTGAAATTCAGACCTCACTGTAGCTAATACAAGTTTTCCCACTGATGCCAACAAGGCCAATATTTCATCCAGTTTGTATAAGGCTGGGCAACTGGAGCCCTGAGTTACATATCCAGCTCAGCAACATATTTCCTTTGTGACCTTTGGTAACACAAAATCCATCCATGCCTCAGTTTCTTCACCTAAAAATGGGGACAGTGTCTATTTCATTGGAGTGTTGTGAAGCTAAACTAAATCTCTATCTGTGAGGTTTGGATTTTTTTAAAAAAGGGAAAAGATAGGGGTAAAAGGTGCAGACAACCACATTTAAAGTAGATAAACTATTTTTAAAAAGTAAAAAATACACCTCAACATTTAATTTAAACCTGCACATCCTCAACCCATCATGTCATGCATAGCCAGTACTTGGGTCATCAAACATCTGGAAACTTTACATACAATGCCTTAATGCTTTGCAACTGCTGAGCATAACAGAGCAAAATAAGGTTCAGCATTGATTCTGAATTATGTTATTTTTGTGACTATAAATCAGACACCAGATATCTAAACCTACTTTACATCCATTATCTTCTGCCACACTCTGCAATTAGTATGCAGCTTTTTGTCTTTATTCCCATATCAGTGTCCCATAAAGTAATTAAAACACCTCAGAAGTTCTGTTTTCAAAAATTTAATTTTTTGTCAAATTTTATACAGGGAAGAGTTTTCTTCTTTAAAAAAATTTGTTTTCCATGTTGCAAAATAATCACCTCCCGTTTTAGTTTATACCACCATATTATATGTACGTACCATTTCCAATATTTGATTAATAGGAATAACAAAAAACAAAAGCCAGTCACTTGAAAAAACACTATGAATTATATACATTCAAGAACTGCATTACTATCAGAGAAACCAGATTTCTTTCTCAAAGGAAGCAAATTCCAAAATATTGTATTTTTTAAAAAAGACTCTTTTTGTGAAAATATGAAAAACTTTATAAACTAGCAGACTGACTGACTCTGGGAATGAATATCTATTGACTTCTGGTTGCTGACCTATGGCTCTGTTTGATCTCTAAATTTGATATTTCACCCTTTTGTTAGTAATGACATTATTGGGTATAATACTGAGATGTTTAATATTTATTAGATTGAAACAAGCTTGGGGGCAAGTAAGAGAACACAAATAATTGGGTTGTTAGGCTTTGCTATAGTAAAAAGGCCTGTTTTAACTAGTGTGAGGCATGGTGTGACAGGCTTGATTTTTAGGTTAGTTAATGTATGCCTGAGGACTTAATCCCAATTCAAGAAGTATGCCTTCACATTCTATGTGACAAACAAATGACCACAGAAGGACAGGTAATGCCATAAGCTTGCAAAAGTTAACTTGAAATAGGGGGACAGTTTGTGGGCTTTTGAAAAATTTTGTACTATAGTAACAAGGCAGTTAGACCGCATTGCCGTATATGATTTATTATGAAACTGACTGACACAAATATTTAGGTCACTGATCAGAAGTATAATTATGGATACCCAGAATGCCACAGGATTTATTCGTGCCCCACAGGATAGGGGCAGGAATAAGTTTACGATGATAAATAAAAGGGTCAAATATGTACTGTATCTGTATGGTTACATAAAGGATGGGTATAAAAGATATGACTTCATTCCCTAAATGTTGGGTGTATTAGGTCCTGAAACTGTGCCAACTGGTTGGTGCCCTACTCTGATGTGCTCCATTGCCTGAATTTTTCTCTTTGTTTTTCATAAGGTTTAAGGATCTGTGGGTATGCTATCAATTCTAAAATCTATCTCTCGGTACACTGCTTTATGTTTGGTTATATTAATAAGTGGACTTATTTGGTTGGTATTAAAAGCTTTTATTGGATTTCATCACGTATGTCATCTATCTCCCAATCAACGAGAAACTTCTGTTTAGCTACTTATCATGAAAAGAACTTGTGCTAAAGTAAGCTTGGTACAGACACTTACAATAATTAATCAGGCTGCATGGTAGATTCATCTGGTTCACATTGCTAGATATTTGCATTAGCTTTGGATCAACTGCAGGTGCACCTATGTGAATGCAAGGACAAACTCTTTATCAAAGGCAATTTCATATTCACTATAAAAACATATATGGATACACTATAGGATTTTACTTTTTAAAAAGATATATCTCCAGTGTGGCTCCTAATACAAATCTGACAGAATTAATGCTCTATTGGAAAGCCCAAATCAGTAAGCCACCTAATACAGGGGTCAGATCAGTATGGCAAATGCAACCTTCTTACTATTCCCAGAGGACCAGAGTACATTGTACAGTCATTTACATGAGTATAAACACTGAATTACTTAGGGCTACATCATATCATCAACAAATGACATCAAGTTGTTCATACAGAGTGCATAATATGGCCTTTAATATTGTTGCTAAGTGTGAAATCATCAGAGCAAACAGGATCTCTCCATACAACTGGTTTGTCATCCCACAGCTGCTGTGATCTGAGGCCATGGTCTACATGGATTTTGTAATAGTACATTTCAATTTCAGTATTTCAGTAATATATTATCATTAGCATTCTGCAGCATTGTTTCTAATTAAGTCACTGGGGCAGGCCTGTGTAGGAACGAGTGAATACCAGGCCACAATGGGCTCCTCACTGGTGCCTATGTGGATGACTGTCCCAACTTTAAAAGGGCTGTCCACCTATGTGATTGTAAAAGCTCATACTGTGGGGAGTGATCTCCCGTTACCTCCAGGCCCAGCTGTCTTGTCTTGTTGCATTACATCATTGCCTCCGCTCTCTACTCCAACGCAGAGCACATCAATTCAGGAAGAAATGGAAGCAACGCAGTAATGTAAGATGACCCCAACAGCATCTGAAGATCTCTCCCAGTAGTAGTATAACTCTGATTAGCCACAGGGGAAACATCTTGTTGGATGCTAAACACATATTACCTTTCTCTTGTTACTTATTTTCTTTTCCTATTTTTCTCCTTTTTAAGGAAGGGCCAGAAACATGGCTAAGAGAGAGAGGGAGAAGAACAGGCAAATTAAAAAGTCATCAGGGGAACTAGGGGTGGGATTTGAGAATTGTTTTAGCTTTCTTTTAGAAGAAAGGAAGAAAGAAGAAAATGTAGCTTCAAGAAATAAAATGAAATTGAAAGAAAAGCTATTAATTAAAAACAAAAACATTCTTAGTCAATTACTTAAAAAAATTCTCAAGATGTCATCTCTAGCTATGCTGTAACCTGGGTAGGACAGTGAGCAAGGATGTGGGAGTCAAAATTAAGGATGTTGGTGGAAGCTTATCTATGACTGTCATGAATTTTTAAAAATGATGCTAATTATGTGGGTTTAAATTAATGGATATTTATTTACCATCTTAATTAAGGTCTTTTGTTTGTTTATTTCTTTAGTATGTGGGAATTAATTTAAAGAAAATGTGTGGGATTGGCAATCTAATTGTTGTTCAAGAATGAGCAGACTTAGCAGGTCTTTCACATAAAAACATCCCTGACGATCCCACTGGCATCAAATAAAGCTCAGATAAACAATTTTCTCACGAGCCTTGCACAAATGCTGTAAAAGTCAGTATTGCAGCTGGACAGAAGAGTATCTTTTGAAGC